GGCTGAGGGAGGAGGGGCTCAGGCCCTGACTCCTGGGTCTTGGTGGAGGGTAGACTCCATTGTAACCCCTCAGTGCCCCTGCAGCCAGGTTCCCCAAGTTTCTGCAATGCGTGAACATCAACATCTCCTCGGATCAGGATTGTCAGTGGGCCTATCCTGGAGCCATCACCGCTGGCATGATCTGTGCAGGGGTCCCCCAAGGTGGGAAGAACTCTTGTCAGGTGAGGCCCAGGGAGAGCATGGGCAGGGGGATTGTTTGGAGCAGGGACTTAGGTACCAAAGGACCGCAGGAACATGACGATCAGGGGAGCCCCCCCCCCCCCCGCCAACTCCACACACACAGAGAACAAGAGAGGTTGTAATAGCCGGGCTGCCTCCACACCGTTCGCCCTTGGGTACCGGACCTCAATTTCCTCATCTGTCCCATGGGGGTAGCAGGTCTTAGTCGGTGGAATGAGATGAGCTAGTCCATGGAGAGAGCACAGAGCTCTGATCACCACTGTCATTGCCATCATCACATACAGGTACCTGGAAAGCTGGGCTCAGGTCCTCTAGAGATCTTAATCCTTCCCTGAGCAATGGCTCCAGAGACAGGGGATGTGGAAACACACACATAGTTTTCTAGAGACAGAGCTAAGATGAAGAGGGGCCCAAGGGACAGAGACAGAGTGGGAACCAGTGACCCCAACGCCCAGGGGCTGAGATCTCCAGAGCCCCTGCCCAGGGGCCTCAGCCCACCCCCATCCCATCTTTGCCTCTCGGGTTCTCCATGCCCACGGCTCTGGTCATCTGTCTGTGGATGTCTCCATCTCTGTCTCTCCCCCTCAGGGTGACTCCGGGGGACCCCTGGTGTGCAGAGGAGAGCTCCAGGGCCTCGTGTCCTGGGGGATGGAGAACTGTGCCCAGCCTGGTTACCCCAGCGTCTATACCAACCTGTGCAAGTACCAAACCTGGATCCAGGAGACCATACAGAGCAGATCTTAGCTGGTGTTACAGAATATCACCTGCCCACATGCTCCCCAAGACCCTGCTCTTCTTTCCCAGAGCAGTTCCTTCAGGGGTTCTCTCTGCACCCCACCACATCCCCGTCATTATTCAAGGTGCCCCTGAGACACACAGAGCAGGAGTGTGAAGGCAAAGGCGCTGCACTGGCACCATATTCCAAAGAAGACAATTTTCAAAACTCTTAGTGTCTGTAAAAACCAGGGAAATACTACTAATAAAACTTTAACAATCCTAAATTCCATTCTCCATTCATTTAATTCACCCAACAGATATGCACACACAGGTCCAATCGTGCCCAGCCAGGAGCCATGTTCCAGAGTGCATGGTGTCCCCTGGGGGTCTGCCCCCTCACCATCCACTGTACTTGGTGTGGTAGAAGGAAGCGCCCCAGCCTTGCGCTGCGACCCTGAGCAGGGACTGCTGAGGTCCCAGACTGGGAGGGCAAAGACCTAGCTTGTTTCCTGGAAAACACTATGGAAGTGAAGAGATCCTTGTTTCCCTAATCAGATCTCAGGTGAGGAGAGTTGAGTTAATCACACTCAGGTCCTGAGAGCTCTGCTCTCGTTTTATTTATTTCCATTTGTCATCCCTGGCTCTGGTTCCCCTCCCTCCCCAAAGGCATCAACACAGATGGCCTTGAATACCCTGCATCCTTGGAACACATGCATTGTCACATTGTGTTGCTTCTAATTTACACAAAATCATTGTGTTATGAATCTCATTCTCTTTCTTATTTTCATTCAAGAACGATTATTTATCGGGCACCTACTGCGTGCAAGGCATTGGTCTACTTATTGGGCACCTACTATGCACCAGGCATTGGTCTATTTACTGGGTACCTACTATGCGCCAGGCATGGTTCTAGGTACTGGAAGTAGGGCTGCGAACGAGCCAGATAAATCTAAATGTTTCTCGTCACAGAGCTTGCATTCTAGCAGGAGGTCACAGACAAGAAACAGTAAACATAATTTAAAAGCAAAGTAGAGGGCTTCCCTGGTGGCGCAGTGGTTGAGAGTCCGCCTGCCGAAGCAGAGGACACGGTTTCGTGCCCCGGTCCGGGAAGATCCCACATGAAAGATTGCTGGGGTGAATATAGCCAATATTTTATAAAACTATAAATGGAGCATAACCTTTAAAAATTGTGAATCACTATATTGTATACCTGGAAATTATATAATATTTTACAGCAACTATACTTCAATTAAGAAAAAGAAAAAAGAGGGGAAAACACGATTGCTGGGGGGACTTCCCTGATGGCACAGTGGTTAAAAATCTGCCTGCCAATGCAGGGGACATGGGTTCGATGCCTGATCCGGGAAGATCCTACATGCCGCAGAGCAACGAAGCCCCAGGGCCACAACTACTGAGCCTGCGCTCTAGAGCCACGATCTACAACTATTGAAGCCCACATGCCTAGAGCCCGTGCTCCACGACAAGAGAAGCCACCGCAATGAGAAACCCGCACACCGCAATGAAGAGCAGCCCCTGCTCGCCACAACTAGAGAAAGCCCGGGCGCAGCAACAAAGACCCAATGCAGCATTAAAGAAACAAAAAGAAGATTGCTGGGAAGTGGAAACTGCACCTTCTGTCATGGTGATACAGACACATCTTGGCTCTCATGTGTGGCAACCACCCAGGCTCTGCGGAGGAAAGGAGTTGAAAGCAGCTGTGTACTTGAGTAGCTCTGAGCCCCCAGAGAGATGAAGACACGGACCACCCTATAATTCTTGGCCTGCATCCTACTATAAAGCTAAGTAAAAATAGTTTAGATTAAAGTAATCTTTAATCTGATTTCCAACTCATATTCCCAGCTGTGATGGTTACGTACCCTATTTTATTGCTTCTTAGATGCACATCCGTTTCCCGTTTTTACAACCTCCGTAAGCGGGAGGCATCTTATAATTAGCTGAGTGTTATGTCTTAGCATTATGCCCTAATTTCATCGATGGCTCCTTTTTCTTTCTCAGTGGTATACAGAATAATAGTGCCAATACAACTGAGGCATTTCAGATTGATGCAATAGGGTGTGAAGGCAGGTGGGTGTGGGTGAGGAGTCAGGTTTCAGTATTAAATAGGCGACCTTATTCCACCAAAGGTGATGTGACGTTATTTCACACCAAAATACTGTGTTAACAGCCTATCCATGTTGCTGTCTGCCCATCTGGTTTATTACTGCTCACTGCCACGGTGTTGGTGTTTTCTCAACCTGTGTTGTCCAAGATGGTAGCCACTAGCCACATGTGGTCATTTAATTTTTAAACTAAAATTATCTAGATTGAATATGCATTACAATTCCATTCCTCGGTCGCACTCGCCACATTTCTGATGCTCTATAACCGTATGTGGCTGGTGGCTGCCATATTGGACAGCACAGATAAATAGATTTCCATCATTGCAGAAAGTTCTGTTGGACAGGACTGCTTGAGTCTATACCCTTGCTCCTAGTGTGGTCCAGGGGACAGCAGTAACAGAATTATCTGAGGCTTATTGGAAATCAGAGTCTTGGACCCCACCCCAGACCAACTGAACCGGAATCTGCATTTTAACAAGACCCCCAGGGGTCTCAATGCTTATTAGAGTTTCAGAAATACCACTCCGTGGTATACATCCACCATGTTTAATGACCCAGTCCGCCAGTGATGGACACCTAGTTTCCTTCTACTACCCAAGCAATACTGCACTGACCATTTGGGGGCAGGCCCCTTATATAACTAGAGAAGACTTCTCTGGAATATCACAGAAGCAGGACCACTGGGCCAAAAAGCCTTACTTTTAATCAATTTCACCAAGTACTGGCAAGTTTTTGCCCAGATAATAAGGATTCATATCTCTCCACGCCCTCAAAAATGCCTGTCTTTCATTCATTCATTCAGCAAATATTTACTGAATCCTGTTATGTGCCAGTTACTGCTCTAGGAACAAGGCAGATAATATCGTTGCCCTCGGGGAACTCACTTCTGGAGGTGAGGCAAACAAGGGACAAGTAAATGAGTAAAACATGAAATATTGGGAATTCCCTGGCAGTCCAGTGGTTAGGGCCCAGCACTTTCACTGCCATGGCCCGGGTTCGATCTCTGGTCGGGGAACTAAGATCCTGCAAGCCTCATGGCACTGCCAAAAAAAACCATTAAATATTACAGATGGGAGCAAGTGCTTTGGAGAAAAGTAAAGCAGAGTAAGGGGATAGAGAATGTCAGAGGAAGGTTATAATTTTAAGTGGGTTATGCAGTGGGTGATTAACTCAGCAGGGCTATGTTGTCCAAACCCTGCAAATTACAGAAAAAAGTTAGGCCCTTGCCTAGCATCTGGGAGATAACCTCTAAGCCTTTGTAATGTTCTGCCTAATAACAGTGTCTTTCTGTACCTGGGGGCCTTGGGCCATGCCAGATAGTCTATCCTAATAGGATGATTTGTGATGGAGTTCTTGGGGCATATTTGACCTGAGAAGGAGCTGGAGACTAAGGTCAGCCATGCAGGCAGACAGCCATGCAGGTCAGCCATGTGACTGACCCCCAATAAAAAACATAGACACCAAGGCTCAGGTGGACTTTCCTGGTGGGCAATCCTCTGTACGTGTTGTCACACGTTGTTGCTGGGCAAAGTAAGTGCTGTCTGTACGACTCCTCTGGGAGAGGTCAACTGGATGTTCGTGCCTGGTCTCTCCTGGACTTGGCCCCATGTGTCTTTTTACTTTGCCGTAATAAACCAAAATCATGAGTGCAGGAGTTTTCCGAGTTCTGTGAGTCCTTCTAGTAATTCCCTGAACCCATCTCAGGGATCTCCAACTACAGTGGTCAAGGAAGTCTTCATGGAGAGGATGACAAGAATGGAAGAAACCAGGCAGACATCTGGTTTGGAAGAGGGGTCCAGAAGTGGAAATCAAAGTACTAAACAGTGTAGGCGGACAAGGACAAAAACAGGGAGACCAGATGAGAAGCTTGCGATAATCCAGATGAGAGATGATGGCGGCTGGGAGGGACCAGGGTGGCGAGGATGGAAGATGTTGAGAAATGGTCCGATTCTGGATCTATCTTGAAGGCAGCGCTGGCAGGGTTCGGTAACACAATGGACGTGTGGTGTGTGAGAAAAGGAATTCAAGGGGGAGACTGAGGTTTGGGCTGAGGAATGAAAGGACGAAGAAACTATTTACTGAGACGATCAAGACTGTAGGAGGAGCCCATTTGGAACATGAGAGGGGTGAAGGACAAGAGTCTGGTTTTGAACGTGAATCTATTGAGTAGGCGGTTGGATGTCAAGTTGAGAGTTTAAGAGCAAGGTCTGGCTGGAGACACAACATCCGGGAGCCATCAGCACGTAGATGGTATTTAAAGCCACAGGAGCAGATGAGATCGCCGAGGGAGTGAGCATAGACAGGGCAAAGAAGAGGGTCAAATGCTCCAGCATGTAGAGATTGGGGACGTGAGTAGAAAACAACACCAGTCGTGAACGAGAAGCAGTCAGTGAGTTATGAGGAAGACCAGGAGAAAGGTAGCGTCTCAGAAGCCAAGGAAAGACTTTGAAAGACCAGAGAGTGAACCGCTTGTTACAGGCTGCCGACAACTCAAGTAAGATGAACCCCAAAGAGCTAGCCACTGGGTTCAGCACCATGGATCTTATTGGCGCCCTTAAAAGAGGCACAGTCGGTGGAGCAGTGGGGGTGGAAGCCTGCATGGAGTGGGCTCAAGAGAACAGGAGGAGAGGAATGCCAGACAGGATGTGTAGCCAACATTTTGGAGTACTGCAGTCAAAGGGAGCAAAACTTGGGTCAGGGGCTGAAGGAGAGCACAGAGGTTGAGAGAAGGTTTTTAAAAAATTCTGTTCATGGAACATGGGAGAAATTGTAGCGTGTTTGTATGTTAATGGAGAAGAAGAAAATTGATGATGCAGGCAAGGGAGCAGAGGACTGCTGGCTGGAACAGTGTCCTCGAGGAGGTGAGAGGGGATGGGGTACCTCGCACAAGTGGAGGTGTCTTTCTTAGACGGAGGTGAAGATTGTTGATCTATAGAAATGGGAGGGGGGCGGAGCATGTGGGCACAGATGCAGGTAGATGGCAAGACTGACCTTTCCAGTGTTTGTTATTCTGATGGGTGAAAAGCGGTATTTCGTTGATGTGTGAGAAAGATGATGACTGGGACCAACATCCTTAATAACATGGATCCAGCTCTAAAGAAGAAGTCACCTCAGTGTCTCAATTTCTTGTGCATCTTTCTCTCCAAAAGACCAAGTCTGATTTC